AGTTGTCGCATGGTTCTAGAGTGAATGGAGGGGTAGGGGGGGAGGGAGGGGAATTCAAGGGAGTATGAATCCGTCTTGCGACAGAGAAATTAACTTGTAGCGAAGTTTTCGCAGTACATATTGCATCATGAATGGCAGGCGCGAGCACTAAACCTCGGCTTGGCTCGGCCAGCGCCTTACACAATTTGCGAAAATTTTTATCAACAATGATGGGCAGGACTGCCCTAGGGCGAACGGCGGCAGTTTAAAATGTTGGAAGTTGCGGCTTCCGTTCGGGATAAGGGGGAGGAGGTGAGGTAAGTAAAGTTAAGAGCTATGTGGCGTAGGTGCTCTGTTGGTTGGCTAGTTCACGTACATTCGGAAGAAAAGGGAAGGGGTGATAGATGGCAAGGAGGAGAAATATGCTGCTGGTTTTTGCTGCAGATACCCGGGGTTTGGAGAGGGCTGAAGTACTGCTCGTTTCCAGAGTTCCCTTATTGTGAAGATGGAGAGGAGTTCATATGTTGCTTTGCAAGCAGAATCTGGGAACAGGGTAGAGGGCGAAACGAGAAGACAAAACAAAGGCTCGAGGCAAGAACTGGAAACGGCAGAAAAGAGAAAGAGGAAACAAAGCACTACAAGGAAAAGTAAATTAAAGCAAACTTATGCTCATGAATAAAAGTAAAATGAGGAAAGTGGACCTATGAATAAAGGTGAAAGAGAAAAACTGAGTCCATCCCAGCGGAAATTTTCCTATAAGAACCCGGTCCTTGGCAGGGGAATTTCTCATTTATGAAGCTGATACTTAGGTAAAGCTGAGAGCAAATAAAGATGCGTAAGCAAAGCTGAGAGCTCCCAGCTTTACCTAAACATCAGCTTCATAAATACGGGAACCCATAGCTCTCAGCTTTGCCTAAGCATCAGCTTCATAAATATGGAAGCCCATCACTGCAGGAAAGCTTTTATAAGGTAATTTCTATCCACAAATTTTTTATTTTTGCTGAGTTTTTTTACTTGTTTGTTTCTGCTTTCTCAGTTTTTAATTACTTTTGCTTCTTTTAGCTTTTATTTATGGGTTTCGACCCTTTGATTTCGTTTTTTTCGTATTCTTCCCATAAGTTCGGTT